AAGAAAAAGAATAAATATATATATATATATATATATATATATTTCGCTAAGTTCTTCCACTGATGGGTGCTAGGTGCCGTTGAGATTTCCGGCCTCAATATTCATCTCGCCGTAGGGCCTCTCCAGGCGAAGGACCCAGACTACAAGTTTGAGTACGACGAGTTCCCATTTCCCGGGGATACCTCGCTGGATATGGGTGTATGTATCACAATACCTCTCTCCTTCTTTTTTCTTCTTCAGTGGCTCTCGTATCTAGCGAGTTGAGACAGACCTCCACACGCAACGCTGACATTTCATTGAAGTTACTATCGAAATGATCAGAGGGAAATTCCAGCAGCGGCGGGGGCAGAGTCGAAGAGGACTGCCTCGAAATTAGCCGAACCCGGATCACACCATGTCGGTGGTCCATGCAGTAAATAAAGCTTTCAGAAGATCGACCGTAATATTTATACATCTTAATTATTTAATACGAAATTTTCAACTTGCTTATAACGATTTGATTTTTATTGCATTCGATTTTTAAGATACGGTTTTCTTAAGAATTCGTTAAAACCAAATCAATAGCTCGTTGCGCTCGCCGTATAGCTCGAGAAATGATTCTTATTATTCTATTTCGGTTTTTCGCGGATAATAATAATATTAATAACGCCGATTATATACGGCCTTAAGACGCTGCATCGCTGTCCAACTTTACTTAGCACTTTAAGAAAAGAAAAAAAAACGCTGCTATTAATTTGCAGCCCTTTCTTTTCGTATTAAGACGAAAAGCATCGATTATTAATACGGCGACGAAAGCTATCGAAAGCTATTTCGACGATATCGACCGCGCGGCTATTATTAAACGACGAGTTTAATAATAATACGCTTTTGCTTTAAATTAAATTATAAACGATTAACTTGACTTCGAATTTCGATATTATGCGTAAGAATTCTTTAAAAGTCTTTTTACGTTTATGCGTATTTATTTATACGCAATTATCGAAGCATTTATTCTTTTTTCTTTTTCTATCGCTTTTTATAATAGCAAGCAAACGGCCCTTTTTAAGTTTATCTTATAAATAGATTCCGCGAAGCTTTCGAAGATTTTAAAAAACTTAAAAGCTATTGCTTAATCGGCAATCGCTAAGCTATCTCGATCCTTTTTCGTTATAAAAATAAAATTTATAAAGACTCGCAAATTTACGAGCTTTTAAGCTATTCGTAAGTCTTTTAACGAATAACTTAAGATACGTTAAGATAAGCGAGTTTTAATTTAAATACTTTTCGCCGCACTTTTAGCTTGTTTCGATAGCTATGCTGCTCGCAAAGCTATTGCTGATAAACTAAACGGCGTCGATATAATTATTATCTTTCGTCTTAAAGCTATTCGCATTAATTAAGCACTTATTTTAATTAATTTTAAAGCGAAAGATCTTTTTATTATAAATAAAGTTAAAAAGGTATATTAAAAGGTTTTTAAAGCTACGAAAGCGATTATTTCGATTAAATAATATACGTACGCTATTTAAAAAGTCTTTATCGAAATTAAAAGCCTTTTCGGCGAGATTTTTAAAACGGCGAAGCATATTAATAAAAAGATCTTAGCTTAAGCCGAAAAAGCTTCGATAAGCGTCCGCATCTTTTAGCACGAAGCTAATTCGGCGATCGGCTTAATTTGTTAAATAATTTTCTTTTTAAAAAAAATTCGCAGTTTTAAGTTATTCGATTGCAATAATTACTTTCGGCTAATCGATAAAAAGCAATTTATTAAAAAGCACGACTTTAATTGCTTCGGCTAATATAACCCGGTTAAATGCATTCGGCACGCACGCTGCTTTTATTGCGGCGAGCGAAAAAATTAGCACGACGAGCTCGACGGCAAAGATTATACGATACTTTTTCGCTATGCAAATTACTACGGCTCGTACGAAGCTAATTATAAAAACTGTTTTGCGGTTCTTAAGCGAATTAACGGCAAAGTGATTATTTTTATTAAAAAAAAGCTAAGCGCCGTTCGACGATTAAAAGCTTAAGCTTACGCTATTGCTATTGCTTTTATAACGGAAGAAAACGAATCGACTTCGGCTTTTTAATTAAAAACTTTTATTATCGGTATTAACGCAGCTTTTTTTCGAAAAAGACGCGCTTTTATAATATAAAAGCACGAGCAAGCGATCTCTTTTTAAGCCGTTTCTTTATAATCTTTTTTTTAATCTTTTACGCAAGCTATAAGACTTTTGCGCAATACAGTTACGCGCAAAAACTTTAACGAAAAGATTTTAATAAATAACGCTTTTTTTATTATAAACGAAAAAAAAGATACGCTAATAGCGATATCGGATTATCACGTAAATAATATTATTAGCTTATCTTTTTCGTTTATAAAAGGCTCGAGCATTGCTGCTAGTTAAAATGCTTAAAATAATTTTATATATTAAGTACGCTAATACGGCATTGCAGCATTCGCCGCAATCGATAGCTTTTTAAAAAAATTTAAGTTTATTAAGCGAACGTAAGCAAAAAGCAGCTATATTATATTGCTTTACTTTACTTTTGCTATTCGGCAAATATTAACGTTATTTATATTTAAAAGCCGTATACGCACTCGAGTATTAAAACTTAAAATTATTTGTTTTACGAATGCTATGCTTCGATAAAATCGTAAGATAATTAAAACGATGCTTAATATTTTGCTAAGCGATTACGAGTAATAATTTATATGCGCAAAAGCATAAGTTTTCGCATTTAATAACGCCGTTTTATTTATAATAAAGATTTTTTATAAGTCGATATAAACGGCTTCGTTATTTTAAACGTTTATCGGCAATTTTTAATAGACTCGATTATAAATTATATTACTTATCTCGTCTTTTTTTTAAGTGCTTAATTAAAAAGGACTTTAATATATAGCACGATATATTCGAATTAAAAATTAAGCTTAAAAGCCGAAAAAAAGACTTTGCGATTTAGTTTAATATTAATAAAATAAATTATATTAGATTTTCGAGCGATTTTATTTATAAAGCTAATTACGTTTTAAACTTAACTTTTTTAAATATTCCGTTTGCTTAAACGATAATTCGCTTCGATCTTTATTCGAGCTTAAATTATAAGACTTAAATTACGATTATCTTTAGCCGAAAAGTCGTTTCTTTAAAGCGCTTTTAATATCGGATATTAAATTAAAACTTCGAGAAATTCGCTTCGCTTATAACGCTAAGCGTAAATCAATTTTTCGATTCGTAAACGATATATTTTATTAAAGAACTCGATTAGCTTACGATTAGCTTAGCTATTGCTTTTAATTTTGCTTTAAAAGTTGCGAAATAGCTTGCTCGAGAAAAGCTAACGGCTATATTATAATAAACGGTAAACTATTAAATAGCGTATAAGAAACATTTAATAACGCGCTTTATAATATATAACGGAAAACCGATTTAAAAAACGCGAGATTAGCTTATTATAATTAAAAAAGTTAAAAAGGCTTATTAAATTTACGTAATCGACGGAGTAAAATCGAATTAAAACTTATATAAAGTTATAAGCTAATATAAGCTTATTTCGAATTTAAAATCGCTTTTTTTAATAATTAACGACGAAATTATCGAAAATATTAAAAAAAAAGCGAACGCGTTACGAAAAAGCATTTTTAAACGGTTTAGCGCCGCTAATGATTTCGATTACGATCCACTCGCTAATTAAAAAAGCATTAGCCGGCTTTTTTAAAATATTACGATATTATTAAAAGAAATAAAGTTTTACTTAATCGAAATAATAAGTATTTTATTTAAAACGAATAAGATTATTATACGATTGCTTAAAGCATGCTAGCAATACGTTTATTACTTTTTTTATAGCTTTTTTAATAAGTGCTTAGCTTTTTATTATTTTTCGAATGTATAAAAGCTCGCTAAAGTTTCGATAATTTTTAAAAAAAAAAAAAATAAGACTTTTATCCGCTTTTAACGATCGATTGCTTTGCTTTCGTACATTTTTAAAAGATTAAAACGTATCGTTGCGAAAAAAATTACGTAAATTGCTTTTATTAACGACGTTTTTAATTTATAATACGCGAAAGCTTTTTTACGGCGCTTTATATTAGACTTCGCTTCGTACTTAATATACGATATCGAGTCCGCATTTGCAATTAAATATTAAATTATTATAATTATTATAAACGTTTAAAAAGCTTTCGATGCGATTTTAATTCGTCGCTTTTTTAAACGTATAATAAAGCAAAGCTAATCGTATTTATTGCTTAAGCTAATAAAATCTTTTTTTTTAAATCGTAAAGTTAAAGTCCGATTAAAAAAAGAAATTACGAATACTTACGACGTAAAGTACGGCACTTCGCAAAGATCTTTATTATTATCGATGCTTTATATACTTTACTTAACCGAGCTATTTAATTAAAATCGGATATTACGTTTTAAGTACGCTAACGATATTTATTTATATCGCGTTAATCGCACTTTCGATCGGAATATCGCTATGCTTCGAGACGATATTAATTTTATTATTAAGTAAAGTAATATTTATAAAATCGCTTTCGCTTTAAAAAAGATCGAAATAATATACTTTTTTCGTAAGAAAAGTACGTATGCTTTTTTTTTCGTAATCGATATTATAATTATTCCGTATATTATTATAAGTTTAAAAAACGAAGATATACTTGCGATATAATAATTTAAGATTTAATTTAATCGCAAGCTAAAGTTCCGTTAATACGTTCGAAAACGAGCGGCTAAAGTTAAGAAAATCGTTTAATATATCCGCAGTTTCGTTAAAATAATTTACGATTTATTTACGGCTTTATTACGCAAAGTAATTATTATTTACGTGCTGCTTTCGATGCTTTATAGCACGGAAGCGTAATACGCAAAGCGCTATCGCTTAATTTGCAAGTCCGGAAAACTAAAAGTTATTAACGCTCGGATCGAAAAGATAATTAACTTTATTAATAAAACGATAACTTTTATAGCGCGCGAAGTACTTTCGATTTAAAAAATAATATTAATAGCAACGCTTTTTCGAAATGCCGAGCTTTTTTTCGGCGCTACGGCTTTAAAAAAAGCTAAAGTTAATGTCGGTATATCCATATCGACCTTAGCTAGCTAGTAGTAGTAGTAGTAGTGGTTGGGGAAGCTCACCCGTGAACCATGGTTCACGGGCCACTTGGCATGCCTCGCTTAGCATGTTAGCAGTCAAAGGACCCCCAACTTGACAAGTAGACCTATTAGTTAGCTAGTACACGTGATTCCTTCTAGTCCTATAAAAGGAATCAGCTCCTTTGAATCTAAGGGAGCAGACAGAATTCAGATACCTTATCAACCGAGTGTTTTGCAATTGCAAGTACTTTGACGACCGTTACGACCTTACGAATATATATTCCTAATCGCTTAAAAGCAATCTAACATTGATCAGTGATTGAATTACTACTGAGTGATCAATCACAAAGAAGCTAAGACTCTATAGCGAGGATACCTTTTACTACGATACCTCCCTCCTTCTACAACGGAAGAGCGATTCCGTACCAAGTCGCTTCTTATACTACCGACTTTCCTCATTCCTACGGAAGAGTGATTCCGAACCAAGTCACTTTTATACAACCTTCAAAGCTGTAGAGCCGCGCCTGCTACACACAGCAAACCCAACCAACACGATCGATCTACGTACGAGCAGACAACTACTATAGCCGATCAAGCAACCGGACTTCCAGGTAGGGAGTCCAGCCGACAAGGAGCAGTAGGGTATTATACCCTTCGAGTCTCATCACCACCCACGGAACCCCCAGCTATTCAGCCAAAAGGACCACTATACCCAAGACTCCTAAGCCTTTCGGAAAGACTAGACGATAAGATGTCGAGCATCTCATTTGACTTAAACGAGCTACCATACGCAAGGCCCGACAGTGAGATTACGGCCCGAGCAATGGTGAGAGACTTCCTGGATGCGAAGTGTAAAGGGCTGAGGGATTACGACCTATAGAGCCTATTCCGGCACGCTTTCTCACGCTAGGATTAGACGAGTTTTACGATGACGAGGGACAATACAGGACGAAGCCTTAAGTTTGCTACCCTTATTAGCCTCAAGGAACACTTGCTGTCCAAAGGCGTGTGGTGCCCCCCAAAGCAAAGGGGCTACGCCAATGGGATGGTCAAGCTCTTGAACGACGAGCAGCAACACCAATGGACCTTCCAGGAAATAAAAGAGCAACAGGCAACACCCTTAGGCCTCGATTCAAGGTAGACCGCCGAAAACCTTACGGACGACGAGGATAATACGCCTCAACCACCTCTACCACCCTTACGAAGTCCAAAAGGGAAGGAAAAGGAAGAAGGGGAGGAGATTCGGAGGTTACGCGAGGAGTTTGCGAAGGAAAGGAGGGATATAGAGCAAAATATGAAAGTAATGGCAAGGCAAATGGCAGAATTACGGACCTACGCTATACAATCCAACGAAGGGCTACGACGAAGCACTTCAGCGTACTCGTCCTCAATTCATCAATCTCATCAATCGCTACGCAATACGCCAATCATACAAGAAGAGCCAAAATCACCTCAGCAGCCCCAAAACCCCCTTGTCAAGGGCTACAGCCGAATTTTCGACAAGCCAGGACCGAGTAGCAACAAAAATAGTCCTGAGATCATCATCGGACCAGACAATACTCGAGGCCACGGGAGCTACACGCCAAAAGAGGACCCGCCAAAACCTGAGAGCATTCCGGACAAAATCAACTCTTACTAGAGACAGCGTGCAGATTTCCGTGCCCAGCCTCAGCAACCCGAGGGGGGGATCCAGCACCCTCGGACGTACCGGCAAGCTACCCACATCTCTCAAGAGGCCACGTATCAACAAGAGAGAGACCAAGGGTATAAGAATCGCCAAGGGCAAGCCCAAGGATACGGATATCACCAAGCTGGAGCCCCAGCCGGTGACCCGAATGGCCCTGGAGATCCTGACGATAGCCGACGAAGAGGGAACGGGGGAGATTGGCAGGGAGATCGAGGCTACGGGTACGGAAGGGGTAGGAACGGCCCCCCTGGGCCACCAAGGGGATTCGGCAACGGACCCCCAAGGGACCCCGGATCCGGAAATGAGCCTCCTAGGGACCTTGGAAGGGTAAGACCCACAACCGGCAACTATATTGGTAACCCCTTACCGATCCGACCACTAGCCAGGCACGGCACGCCTGCGTACGGCATTCCAGGCGCCCTTGACGATGATGGAGACGATTTCCCTGAGCTAGGAGCAACAGACCCTCACTTAAGAGCGAAGGAATTGGCCTTGTTCGCGCGAAGCTTTCCTAAAGAGCTGAAGTACTCAGGACCCGACGATGACTTCAGAACTCAATTAAGGATTTTTGCTGACCAGGCAAGTCGATACGGTTTGACCTCCGACGACTACTTGGCGGCGTTCTTAATTATGCTTACAAGGGAGGCTATAACCTTCTATTACAATCATGTGATCAAGGCCAAGCTTCTTACGTTTAAAGCAAACGCTATTGCGGTAAGGGACCACTTCGAGACTGACCACCGGCGGCAAGCAAAATACGACCGCTAAGAGGAAATTTCGCTGGATTTGGTCAAGAAGGAGAATCCAGGAACCTCGCTTAGCGAGTGCTTTGAAAAGCTCGCTAAGGAGCTCAAGGGCATTTAGAGCTCTCTACGACCAGGTTTAAGGGATGATCGAAGTCTTGCTAACAAGCTGTATTTAGCTTGTAAAAACGTGCCAAAGACTACGATTGCACGAATGAATCCTGCTTTTACCTCTACCGCGGCAGTTGCTGACATTCGTCGAGCAATTGCCTTTGCAACTGAGACCTCCCGACCTCCCGCCAAGGCGAGTAGAGCTTACGCGAGCTCTAGCGAGCCACACGATCACATCTGCTCTCAGCACGCCTCAGAGGCTGACTCCGATTTGGACGAAGAATACGAATGCTTTATTTAAGATCGCCAATACTTCGGAGGTAAGAAAGCTGCCAAGGCTACTACTGAGGGTGAAAAAAGGTGTTTTGTTTGCAAAAAGCCAAGTTGCTGGAGCACCAACCATACCCCCGACGAGAGAAAGGCATCCGTCGCCAAGTTCCAGGCCTCCAAGGACGCAAAAAGGGTGACGAGAAGCAAATTCTCTTAATACGTAGCATCGATTGAGGGCTTGCTACTTGTATCTACGGAAGAATTCGATCAGTTTATCGCAGGCCTATCAGACGAGCCGCTCGAATCGGGCAGCTACGCTAACATGTCGGAAGGTTTTGTGACTACTTACGGCACCTTTGACGCTGACGAGGTATACAAACAGCTGGAAATTCAGACGGCATTCTACGCCCTTACTAGCCAAATCGAGACTTAAAACGTGCCCGCGGGCAAAGCAAAGACTTACATGGCCTCTAAGTACTCTGAAAACGTGTTCATAAGACTTATGATTGACAGCGGAGCAGCCAATTTCTCTACCGCTGGCTTGCCCCAGCTACGAGCACTCCAAAAGAGGTACCCCGAGGTCTAATTAGATACATCCCGGGCAAGGGAGAAGTCCGTCAAGTACGGGATCGGCTCTGCCACCTTTATTAGAACAGTTACCTTGGATACCCCCCTGGGTCAAGTAGAGTTCCACGTTGTAGAGAGCGACGTACCTTTCCTATTCTCGTTAGCTAACATAAATAAGCACAAGGTGATCCTAGATAACCTGCGGAACGTGCTAGTCCAAGGGAAGAAGGAAATACTAATGGTAAGGATGTTTAGACACGTATGGATGCTACTAAGTAAGAAGCACGCTGCTACTTACTATAGCACCGAGGGCGAGACCGTCTACTGCTACCTTACGGAAGAGCAATTGAGGACCATCTACAAGCGTTTTGGCCACCCTTTAGCAGGTCGATTTGCTGCTGTTCTCAAAAGGGCCGGGCACGAATTCAGACGGGATTTGCTTTATAATATCTAAAAGTTTTGCTACCACTGCTAAGTATTCGGACGCTCCTCGAAGAGGTTTAGTATCAGACTTAAAGATGATACTGACTTCAATGACACGGTATACGTCGATGTGATGCACTTTGACGGCAAGAACGTATTGCACGTCGTCTGCGACTCTACTAATTTTCAGGCCGCCACTTTCTTCAAAAGCATGTCCGCATAGCATTTACTTAAGGGATTCAGTCGATGCTGGGTCAATACTTACGTCGGGCCCTTTATAAACGTAGTGCACGATCCCGGAACCAACTTCAATTCGGCAACGTTCCGAGGCTACCTCAAAAGTATTAGCAGTACCTTAAGGCAGATGCCTGTGGAAGCCTATCATAGCGTCGGGCTAGTGGAACGCTACTACGTCCTTGTGCGACGCGCCTTTGAGATCGTCACAAAGGAGCTTTTAAAAGCCCTAAGGGAGGACCGGCTTCAAATGGCTATCAAAGCCATCAACGACATAGCTGGACCTAATGGCTTGGTTCTTACACTCCTCGTTTTTAGGACCTTACCGAGGCTGACGAAGCAAGATCGACCTGCCGCGTCTACCCAAGAGCGTGCTGCTGCTATCAACAAGGTTATAAGGGAAGTACGAAAATGCCACGCTGCGAGGCAGGTTAGGGACGCGCTTAAAAGGAGGAATAGCCCAATTACGGAGCATACCCTAGACCTCCTTATTGGCTCACGGGTGCTCGTGTGGCGGGAAAACCAAGGGTAGAAGGGCCCCTTTCAGCTGCTTAGCAGGCAAGGGCACACGTGCACAGTAGCTTGTCCGAGGCCTACGGAATTCAGGTCAACCTCAGTAAAACCTTACTACTTTAAAGTTGAAAAGCTGCCAGAGGAGTTGCAGGTACCTGAGGTAAAGGCGGAAGAAAAGGTGGAAGAAGAAGTGGAAGATGATCAGAGCGAAAGCGAAAAAGAGCTAGAAATACGAAATTCGCCTAAACCTTAATATTCGCCTAATCCACCGAGGTCGCTTAATCCAAGAAGCTCGCCAAGACTAACAAACAGCCCCCTCAACCCTCAACTTGCCAATCCCCAAAAGTCAACAATACCAATGGTCCAGATACCTTACTAGAAGTACGATCCTAGTATCTCGACCGTGCCCGACGAGGAGGAGGGCGACTCTTACGTTCTATTTACCAAGGACTCCGAGGTATTGATTACCGACAAGGAACGCCGGGACTATAAGCTCTTAGCTAAGCTACGAGCCGAAGGAATCATCAAGAGCCTTGGGGCACCATTTCAAGAGTCTAGAGCAAAGGAATTGGCTGGATTGATGGCCTAAGGCATCCTTTAAGTGATCTCGGGCACCGACCCACGCGCTAAGGGCGCCAGGATCTTCGGATCTAGGTTTATTGATGAGATCAAAGGCAAAGGAACACTTACGCTATACGAAAAGTCTCGTATAGTGGTCCAAGCCTTTCAAGACAAGGGCAAGACGAGGGTACTCACCGAGTCACTTACGGTGCAACGAACGGGCTAAAGACTCTGTTATGCTCTGGCTCCTTCCCTGATAAAGGACTACGGGTGTCAGGTCTGTGGCAAGGATATCACTTAAGCTTACACTTAGTCAAGCACGAAGCTCATCCGAATAATCGTCGTGCGACCACTTAAGGAGATCACTTATCGATTCCCCTCCGGCACTTTGTTCTTTATGACTAGCCCTTTATACGGCATCCCCGAAGCAAAGACGCACTGGTATAAGCGTTTTTCCAGGCATTTCATAAACAACTTCGGCATGCGGCAATCGAGCTTTGATTCTTGCCTTTTTGTGTCAACCAATAAAGATCAGCTAAGAATAGCTGCCTTACAGACGGACGATGTTCTTATGGTTGTCAATCGAGCTATAAGAGCAAAGGAGGAGAAGGAGCTGGTGAAATCCAAGCTGAGGAGCAAGGAAATAGAGATCCTCACACACGCCGAACCGATGATTTTTAATAGGTGCAAGCTATCTTTAGATAAAGACGGGTTCGGAGTGTCAGTTGGTCAGAAAGGGCAAAGTGAGAGGCTTGCAGTAATCAAGCTCGATTCAGCCACACGGGCTAAGGAGTACTTGGAGCAACGTGCCCGAGGGGCGTATTTGGCTACCATTTGCTACCCAAAGGCATCTTGTGCTCTATCGATGGCTGCTTAACACCAGGAACCGAAAGACGGGGACTATAAGGCCTTTAATAAGGTGATCCAGTGGCTGATCGATCACCTAACACGAAGGATCTACTACGTGCCCTTAGACTTAACAACTACGAAGCTCTTTGTGTTCGTGGATAGAGCGTTTGCTAACAACGCTGACCTTAGCTCCCAGATCGGTTTCGTAGCTATCCTTGGCAATGAGGCTCACGTAAGTGAGAACGAGTTCACTCTGACGGGTAACATCCTCTATTAGGTGTCACAGAAGTGCAAGAGGGTGACAAGAGCAATATTAGCCTCTAAGCTATACGCTATGTCCTTAGGTATCGATATGGCCATTGCTATATCGACCACCTTTGCCCAGATCACAGCCTAGCTAAGGATACCTAATTTCCTCGTGGTTGTGTACACTGACTCTTATTCGCTCTACGAGTGCATAGTAAAGCTAGGAACTACTAAGGAGAAGCGCCTTATGATCGATATTATGGCTATTCGGGAGTCATACGAAAGGCGGGAGCTCTCTGAGGTACGCTGGATCGGAGGAAAATCCAACCCTGCTGACGCCATGACTAAAGTCGGGGCCAATACCTCCTTGCAAGAGCTAGTTTTGACTAATACCTTGAAGGTGCAAGTGGACGGGTGGGTGGAAAGGCCGCTGTAAGAGAGGGAGGGATAAGATTGTTTTTCTTTTGTTTGATTACCTTCCTTCCTTTTTCGGTCGATATAGTAGTTAGCAAAGCACTGCTTGCTAAAGAGAGAGTTGCCGGTGTCGGTATATCCATATCGACCTTAGCTAGCTAGTAGTAGTAGTAGTAGTGGTTGGGGAAGCTCACCCGTGAACCATGGTTCACGGGCCACTTGGCATGCCTCGCTTAGCATGTTAGCAGTCAAGGGACCCCCAACTTGACAAGTAGACCTATTAGTTAGCTAGTGCACGTGATTCCTTCTAGTCTTATAAAAGGAATCAGCTCCCCTGAATCTAAGGGAGCAGACAGAATTCAGATACCTTATCAACCGAGTGTTTTGCAATTGCAAGTACTTTGACGACCGTTACGACCTTACGAATATATATTCCCAATCGCTTAGAAGCAATCCAACACGAAGAGTATATCTTATATTCTTTGATTATATTTGAGCTCTTTCTTATGTCTATATATCTTATTAAGTCCGCTAATCAACTGCGCTAAGCTTGATCTCTAGCCTCTTTTAGTTAATTAGTCAAGTTCTTTTTTATTACTACTTCTACCTCTTCTTTTACTTCTTCTTCCACTTCTTCTTTCACCTCTTCCTTTACTTCCTTTTCCACCTCTTCTTCTACCTCTTTTATAATTGTCTTTGCGGTAAGAGTCCTTCGTATAGTTGCTTCTACTATCATCACCTCCGCTTCTACCTCTTTTCTTTGCTCTTCGTCTTTAAAGTTCGCGGTGTTCGAAGATAAGTGGTACGTAAGGTTGTTTATGAACTAGTAGGTTAAGTAAAGGTCGAGATAAGATCGAGTGAATCGGTAGTAAAAGTTGTAGTCGAAGGTCAAAGGTAAACTCTTATTGTCTTTGCTATTAGTAAGGTTGCTTATCGAATAGTATATCGAATTGTATATTATTCGAGGGTGAGGGTAAGAGTCGATACAATTAAGGGTGTATCGGTAAGAAGGGTAGTCGTGTAAGTTGTATCGGTATGAGAGGTGTAATGTAAACACCCTGCCTGATAGGGTACCTGCCATAGCCACTAGGGCCACACTAGACGGACTTATCTTCTATAAGAAAGCACACATCTTTTAGCTAGAACAATCAACGAGCTTTCCACCCATCTTTTTTAGCACTTCCTTTATAAGACTATAAGGTCTAGCCTTAAAGCTAAGCTTTTATACGGCACATCTTTTTAAATGCTTTTATATTAGTGACTTACGCAAAGATTCAAACCTTTAGTCTTTGTCTTTATACAGCTTATTATAATCGCTTGATTCGCAATCAAGTTGATCTTCGTTTATCATTTAACACTTTACTTTACAATTACAACTTCAAAATAATCAAAACCTTATTCTTAATAAGTTCGGACACCGAAACGCTGAAATAGCCGAAGTGCAATATTTCGGCTCTCCGTTAAAAACTCTCTTTTATTATTAATAAGAAAGAATTTTCATTTATTAATGAAAATATCTTTTTATATCTTAGCTCTTATCTTAAATTAAAGCAATTGATATAATCCGGAGTTGTTAGCGAAATTAATCAATTGATTCTTAAGTTTTTTATAATTTTAATCTTAACTATTAATTTACCTTTGCAAAAGGTCTATTCTTTTTAATCTCGGATCGAAAATATCTTGCGAAAATCGCTTATTTTACTCGTGAACTCGGTTCACGAGTCAAAATCAAACAATTCAAAAACTTTTTATCAACCCGATCATTTTTAATATATATATATATCTAATCCTTAAAATACCGAAAACTTTTTTAAGATTTTTAACATCGAAGTCGGCGTAAAGTCATTTCTTTCTTTATTAAAATCATTTGAATTTATTAAATCTTTTAGTCGTATTCTTATAAGCTTCGGACTATTTTTATTTTACTTCGACCTTTAATTAAAACCTTTACTTTTACTTCTATCGGAAACACTTGCTTCGGAAATGCTTTTTAAAATCAATACCGGTTTTAAGATTTATACTACTCTTTTTCTTTTTACTCTTTTTGCTTTTTTATTAAGCTTTGCGCTAGTTATAATCGACTTTGCTATCTTTTACGCTTTTATAACTACTCGCATGCTATTGCTAAGTGCTTTAAGAGCTCTTTGCTTTAATAGTGCTAACATTATCGACTTTATCGAAAAGTACGAAAAGACTTATAATAACTTTAATATTTTTAAAAACGATCGGTTTATCAAACTCTTTCGTTATTGCAATAACTTTCGCAAAAAGATTATTAAGAGCTTGCCCGAATAAAAAGCTAAGAAAGACTAAGCTGCTTTCGTTAAAGCCTTAAAAGCCGAGTTTCGTAAGAACGATACTTAATAGATTAAAGACTCGATCGCTTTCTTGCGAAAATTTGCTATGCAAAAACGAGATATTAATAACTTAAAAAACTATTATCGCACTTTCTTTCGAGTCTTCGAAAAGCTTATTATAATACACTTTTTAAACAAGACTAAACAAAGCCGCTTATTCTTTTTTAAATTGCTCGTCAGAATCCGAAACAAGACGATCAAGCATTGCAAAGTCGACGAGCTCGACTTAAATTTTTATATCGCTTTCGACGACTTCGCTGTATTCGCTTTTAAGACCGACTAAAGTGCTAAGATTATCGAAGCTATAAATCGAGAAAAGTCTTTTTTAGCTAACTTTATTAAAGGCATTTAAACTTTAATTAAAGAACACATCGAGCTAGCTAGCGTTCTTAAGTCTATTAAGAAAGCTTTAATAGTAATGCCGTTCACTCGTAAACCACGGTTTACGAGTAAAAAAAAAGAAATTAATAAAGTAAGTTTTATAATTAAAAAGTTTTTTAACTTATAGATTAATACGATTTATAATCGAATTGATTATTTCGAAGATCAAGTCGCTAACTTAATTTCTCGACGCTTTATTTAATCTTAACTTGAAGTTCGATTCGAAGATCATAACGAAGCCTTTATTAAGTATATTACTTAAGATGCTCGAAATAAAGTCAGCTTCGAAAGTAGACTTTAGATTACTGCTATCGGCTACGGATTATAAAAACGAAAAAGAAAAAGAAGTAGAAGATATAAAAGCTAAATGCAAAACTATAGCTTTTGCGAAAACTCCGAAGACATAACTTAAGCTTTTTATTAATATTAAAATAAATGTAAGGCTTTTAAAAATATAATTAATAAAAGATGTATTCATATTAATAATTACGGACGCTTTTGCTTAAAACTTAAAAGGATCGGTGCTTTTATTATTTAAAAGAAGCAAAGAAAGACTTAGTTTAAATCTATCGTATTAAACGTTCGTAAAACGAAATACGATAACATTTTAAAGAATCGATTTATTAACGGACTTAAGACTTATAAACACTTGCTTTCTTACTAAAAATTAATCTAACAGCCAGCTTAGTATTAGCTCGATCAAAATGCTTAGCAACCAACTAATTAGCTAAAAGAGCTTATTATTATCTTTAAAAGACTAGTCGACATTAAGAATATTAATATTATAAAGTAGATTAATACGCTTAGCTACTTATCAAACATAAAGGTTGCTTCGATCGGGATTAACGCTATCGTAAAAGACAAAGCTAAAAAGCCTTTCTCGCTTTCGAAAAGATCTAAGCTTATTAAGATTAAAAAGAATATCCGATAATAAAAAGAAAAAAATTATAGCACTTTTAAAGCCTGTGCTTTTTAAGAATCGAATACTATTACGAAGATAAACTTAAAAGATAGGTTATTCGATAGTGTAATTAAAAAAGAGTTTTTTAAACTAGTTAAAGCCGCCGAAGCTATAAAAGATATAAAAAAAGAAGTTAAGATCATTTAACGAGTGCTAAGAAAAAAGAAAAAGAAGACTTATAAACGAAAGAAGTTTATTAACCTTTACGTTATTACTAAAGCTTAAGAAAAAGCAATAGCGGCGATTATAAAATCGAAAATCGAAGTCTAGATTAAAAACTTGTTTAAATTTAGCTTTCGCTTCGATAAGCTATTAAGTTATTATATTCTAATAGTTTTTAATGCTAAAGAAAACGTAAAAGTCTTTTAAAGTAAGCTTATTCTTATAAACGCTTTAACTGTTAAACGTTTAAGTCGGAATGAAGAAAGCAAGCTAGACCTTTTAACGACGCAAATCTATAAATAACTTATCGCTCGCAATTGCTTCGAAATAGCGATAAAGACTTTAAAGGTTTTTATTAATATCGACGGTATAATTAAAAGCAAATCTTTTTTCAATAATAGATCTAAAGTTAACGTAATAAATAAAAAAGTAGCTAAGATAGCTAAACTACTTATTATAACGGATCGAGCTTTAATCTATACTATCGTGTTCGAAGATCTTTATAACTTTAATAAGTAGATAAACGACGTCGAAGTTATTATCAACGGAATTATTAACTACGCTGATTTCTTTATTATTAATAATAGTAATTACGAAGTCATCTTAAGCATGCTTTTTTTCTTAAAATCTTAACTTTCTTTTTTTTATTTCGATAACGGCACGATAAAAGCCTTTTTTTAAAACCACGATCGATTTATTTAAAGATAGATTACTATTGTAAAAGACAAGTCGGATTTAATCGAAGACTTAAGAAACTAATAGCTAGCATATAAGTTAAGATGGATGCTAAGTTAAAAAAAAGCTTAAAAAGAAATTCCGCTCGTAAATTATAGTTTACAAGTAGATCGGTATAAAAATAACAAAATTATAAAAAAA